TGTCACTGGCGTGGGGTGTACCTGTGTGGAGCTGGGTTTTCTCATAGCGGCGAGGGAGGGATGCAATACTCAAATGAAAAGCTGAGATGCAAAGGAAACCCAGTGAGGAATTGTGTAAGAAACTGCGTGGGAAGGGGAAAGAAGGGTTTCAGCCACTCTCCGCCAGTCGGCTTTGCGGAGACTAATGCTGCCTGAGAAAATACTTTCGAAGTTCTCCTGGAATCGCAGTGAGAAGACCCATGGAGCCTGCAAAGAAATCTCCAATGAAGATGTGTATGGTAGTTTTTAAACATTCAGATTCAGGAGAATGGCTAGTTTTGAGGAAGCAGGGTTCAAACTGACCCTAAATTGGTCGTGGAGATTTTGCATGGGAAATGTCCCCCCCCAGGCTCGTGTGTTCCAACATTTGGTGGCACTTTTGGTGACCTTATGGCACCTTCAAGAGCAGGGGTCTTGCTGCAGGAAGTGCATTACTGGGGCAGGCCTTGGGGGTTTACAGTTTGCTCTATTCTGGTCTCCCTGCTTGCTTCTTTCAGGTGAAGTTTGACCTAGATTCTTCTGATTGACAGGTTGACTGATTGTGTTCCTGCTATATTTCCACCACGGCCCACATCCCATCTGGAACCGCAAACTCAAATAAGTCCCTTCCCCTTCTAAGTTGCTTTCAGTTATGGTGCTTTACAACAGAAAAGTCACCAACACTACCCAATATCACATTCCACATCGTACAAGAAATATATCTGTATGTTTCCCTGACATGACTTCTTAATTCTGTCCTCAGTTAAAAATAGTTTTATTTAGAGAACATGTCGATTCCTCCAGGCTACAAAATACTGAGTTTTATGTCTAAGCTAATATGTATATGCATCAATTTCACTTGTTTAGCTTTCAAAACATCTAACTTTATTTTGGGGGAGGGTAGAAGAACAATACTTAATTCAAGGTTTCCTTGAACTTTAAATCTTTTAATTTGCTGAACACTGTAACAAAACATTTTAATAACTCAGATTTTAAGTTAGCATATCTAAGTTCATTTTTTAATGGGAACTTTTTTAAGTTAAATATATTGGTGCAAATTAGTTTGTATTTTGATTCAACGTGTCAGTACGTAAACACTGAAAGTATTAGGTCATTCCCAGCAGGTATTTTTCATCAAATGATAAATATGCTCTATAAAACCATGGCTTTCAGCATATGATCTAAAAATAAATCTCAGCAGAAGCAGTGCTCAGTGATGTTTTGACAAATAATAAGACACAATTGTTATATACTGAAATATATATAACACAAGATCTGGGAAATATTCCCTATCTGAACTACAGTTAAAAAAATCACTTCTCTCATAGCAGATTTCTTGACTCCAGAAAAGAACATTGAGTCTCTCCTTAACCGTTGAATGGAACTGCTAGCCTGACTCGACCTGAGTCTACCAACATCTTCCCACATGAGAGTTGACACAATTAAAAGTACCATTTCAGCATCACTGATTTAATATGCCAAAAATTATATCTAAAGGTATTTCTAAGCTAAATAAAATTTAAAAAATGTAGCTCAATAAAATTAATTTTTGTCTTCACATCTACAAAGCTATAAATACCATGATGCTCACCTAATGCCTTCAGTACATTCTCTTGGTGAATACTTTGACACCCATTTTAAGTTCCTACTGAACTTAAGTAACTGTGCCAAAGAGGCTGAGATATCTCCTTTCATGGAAACTTTGCAAACATGCTCTCCCTTTTCCATTTCTGCAAATTTATCTGTGTTAGCTCCTCTGGCTGGACTATTTCTCCCTACCTCAGTTTGTCACATCTTTTAATCATACTTCAAGAAATAGTTTCCATGTGACTTCCTGCGGGAATTCTTTTATCTCAGCATCCGGGATGGCATTGCCCTCGTTACACTATCTAGCCTTTTCTTTTGTATTCCACAGCTTTTGAATGGATCCCAGCTCCTATGAGCCTTCAGGGACAGAGGTTGGCAAATGAGTGTCAATCAGTAATGAAAAGTAGCCATGAGAAAAGCTAAAGACAGAAGGGCTGTGATGTGCTGGAAGAAGAAAGTTTAGAGGATTCTAATGAGAAAACATTGTATTTACTGACAGACATTGGCCCTTCTTGTAATTTTGTTTTCTTTTGTTGCTGTTGCAGAGAAAATAAGCCACACATCTAAGCTTCTTGTCTACAAAAGGACATTTGAAAAACTGGAAAATGCTTTGGTCTTCACATTTTCATCTTTTTCCCCATCCTGGGTCTCCCTTTGACCCACTTGCTTCCATTTATGTTTCTGGAGACCAATATTCTTCTAATTTCTCTATACGTCATCTTAAAAACCCCTTTACATTAAGTAAAATATAAGTAAAGCAAGAGTAACTTTCTGAAAATAGTTAAGTTTATTTGGAGCATGAAGTTACTTATCACAAAGAAGTTCTTAAGATGAATTATAGAGAAATTAGAAGAACTTCGAACTCCAGATTTTTGAATGCTAATGTGAACAAGAGGAACTATGCATTTAAATTTGTTTTCAATAAAAATGAATATTTGAGGATGTCTATTCCTGTGACGGATGGGATATTCTCTTGGCACATTTGCTTCACAAACATCTTGGCGCACGCTTTAGAAAATCACTTAGCAGTCATTTCTTTAAACAACAGTAGTAGGTACGAGATGAGTCATGTACTAAGGGAATGATGGTATTTTAATTTGTTATGATTATGTATCATTATTGTTTCAAATCGGCCCGTCTTCGTAAATGAATTACAAGCCACAAATCTGAAGGCATATGGAGGGAGCCATTCACACGCTGAAGTCTCTTTGAGTTTTGGTTTGTCACCTGTGGAGAAATAAGTCTAGTTAAGTAGCACTCTGGTTGGTTTGCTGAGTCATGGGTGTTCAAGCTTAACTGGCACTTTCTTCAGCCTTTGACACCGGAGTGTTGTATGCAATGCCCGTGGCCACAGGCTGAATGAACAATAGAATTCACATATCCAGCATGGAACACACACATTGGCAGTGGAAGTGAAAGGTGTTTTTTTTTCAGGAGCACAGTGTAAAATGGCACCTCCAATGAAGGAGCTAAGCAGCAAAAGGAGATGCCGGGGCCAATGAGAGCTGTGTTTTCTTATGCAAAAAAAATCTACAAGGAGAGAATAATATTAAAAGTTACTTCATGATGTTTGTCAGTTTGTTCCCTAGCTTCCTTCTTAGCTAAATGTTTATTTTGATGGTTGTGACATCTCAGTGATTGATAAGCACTTAGAAGCCAGAGTGTTCAGGTGTGTTTATGATCCTCCTGGAGAAGCCAGGTGTTTTTATGAGGAACAATGGCAACAATCTATCCATAACTGCCTCAGGAATTTATGGCCTCTGACAAAGACTCAAAGTAACAGCTACAAACCCACTCCAGCACAGACTACAAAACTGAGGGATGGGGGGGTTGGGGAAGGGCTCAAGCCTGGGTGCCGTTATTCACCTCACTCCTTCTCTTTGGGATTTCCGGTTGCTTAGAATATGATAGGTTTTCACGTTGTGCTATCCAACAACGTGTTTTCTGCGCTCTTTTTTTTTTCTTTTGGAAGACTTGATTGCAGGACTTGATCAGATTTATTTGACATAAAAAAGTACACATTTAAGATACTAATACAATACCTGGGACACAACTGTTTTCTATAGACAACATCTGTGTGAACATTTAATGTTTCTGTGAAAATGAAATGTGAATTCTGTGCATCATACATATTTGTAATTTTGGGGCGTATAACTTTTATTTTTCTCTAAGATTGACATGACTCCAGGAGATGTGTGGAGAGTTGTTCTATCTCTTTATTATTTTCATCATATAGAAGCTTATGTAAGGCCACAGTGGGATCATATCACATTTTAGTAATAAGAAGCAGCCTTCAATGACAACTTATAGCAGTGTACATCATCAGGGAGAGCCAGAGCTATATACCACTCAAATAAAGAGTTTAAACATGGGCATTCGATCTTGAGCTGTAACTTACCCTGCTCATGGATTTTTTTGAAGAGAGTGGGCCAGCTTATACCATTCTCTTTTGTTTAAGAGTCTGAGTTCTTTATAATCATTTGGTAGAATATCTTTCCTATCAAACTCATCAGCTGCCCTAAAGTAATCATTGATTGTTTTATTGTTGGCTCCTAACAAACACAGGAAAGAAAGTTATCACTAAAAAAGTACAGCCATACTCAAAAGGTTTTGACTTCTCTGAATGAAGAAATAATACCATGTGCTTGACACTGCACTTTATAATTTAACACTTCAGTGATTTTAATGTAACGAATGGCAGATGTGTAATTTCTACTTTCATCTTCTGTGAGAGATGGGTTTTCCTCTGCCACTTAGAATTTACAACCATGTCTATTGGCTCCAGAAAGGCAGTCTTAATACAGCAAGTACACCAGTCATCAAAATGTTCCAATTTATATGTGATCCACTACGTAATTTTGTTCTACTTAGGGTGCTTATTTTCTTGGTCAGTGTCAAGTTGTCATATAAAGCTCCAAGGACATTCTCTGTAATGGTGATTGGCAGTATTTATTTCAATAAACAGAACAAGCCACTTATCTTTTTCTTAAAAAAATTCTTCAACTTATTTAATAGTTACTGCCCATAAGGAGTAATTCTCAAAATGTGGACCCTAAAATCAACAAATTCATATCATATCGGAGAATTCTTGAGGTGACAATTTTCAGTGCCAAATGAAAGTATTTCCTCACCCATGTGGAGGCAGAATCCATGCTTGTGGTTTTAGTGAGATTTCTGGGTAAATCTTGATCTACTTTGGGAGCAGCTAGAATACAAAAGAGTATGACAAAAATTAGTAGTTCAAGAAGTAGACCGTACAATAGGAATGAGAAGATGCCAGGTAAACACATTATCATTACCAGTGTCATATCAGCTTTTTTCTCTTCCACAGGGTGGTGCAAAAATTTGTAATGCACTGAAATTCTCAAGATGTTTTCATACCATTGCTCTTTCAGGAGAACACTCAGAGTGAGATGCCATGGCCAACTCTAATCTATTCATCACCGGAACACTCAACAGGTCAAGAATGATTCTTTTCCTCAACTGCAAGTAGTACTGGACATTATTTCTTGGCTACGGATTATTTATAATACATCCTGACCCATGGAAAAGAAGTACTAATTAAAGGTATGGCATAGGGGCATATGAAATGTCTCAGTGGGCAAGAGTATTGGCTACTTTGAGAGAGAACCCATACTTATTTCCCAGGATCCGTATGCTGGCTGACAGGCAAGCAAGACTCCAGTTTCCTTGGGATCTGATACCCTCTTCGGAACTTTACAGCCAACCAATCATGCACACAGTGAACCAACACAAATGCAGGCAAAACACAGAAAACTAACACACATAACATATATAAATTTATTTTGTTGAAGCATGACATGTTTGTTTCCTCTGCATCAATGCTGTGTCTAACTTTTGTTATTGCTCTTAGTTTTCAGATATTGTGATATGGTGAAGTCCTCAGAGAAAAGACCTAACCTCCACTTTCCCTCATGAAAATCAGTGTGGGGTGAAGTCATCAGACATAACCTTGGCCTCCCAGTACTTCTCTTGCTGTGCTGAAGTATTGAAATATTGTCCAACTCATTGTAAAACTTAAAGAAATTTTAGTTCTATCTTTCTTTTTTCCCTACATTTCAGTGTTAGCCATGACATCCCTCTTTCATTTACTCACGAGAGCATTTTTTTTTATCATGAGTCTGTGATACATCCCAGTCCAGACACTAGAAAAACAAATACCAAGGCATTTCTAAAGTAGAATAGGTTTCTTTATCTGGAAATAAATGCCCATCACCTTGACCTGCTGTGCAGAAGCGGCTTCTCCTCTCTCTCCACAAGCTTTTCCCTTTGCAATTAGGAAAGCAGCCATATTATTCTTCCCCAAAGCCCCTTAGAAGCTTATCATTGTGTCTAATAAAACAACAATCTTTATTATTTCCCTCTCAAGAGAGCTTCCAACATTATCTAACACCTGTCACTCTGGCAGACAGTGCTATAACTCTATGCTACTGTTTGTTCCTTCAACACGCTGTGTGTGTGCTCACTTCAGGTCCTCCATCCTGGATGTTTTATCCCTGAAATTTGCGTAGCTAATTATGTCATTCCACTGTGTTCTGCATTCAAATTCACCCCACCAGTAAGCTTCGCTGACTGGCAGATTATTAAACAGCAATGCATCCCCCACCACACTTAAACCCTGCACCCCTCGCCCAAACACAAAATTGAAAGTGCTCATCAGTACCTGTGCACATGGCATTTGTTCTATATCAGTTTAGGTTTCTTCCTTCTCATTTCACATTTTACTGCACCCATTACTGGATACTGAGTTTGCTTTTTCACCTGTGCTCCTTAATCTGGTTCTACTAGAATCTGCATAGTCACATGTTGTTGTCCTTTAGAGTTAGAAGCTGGAGACTATATGCTACAAAACAATCAAGTTCCTTTGTAATGAGAGACTTGATCATGCACACGGTGTGGTTTTTCTCTTAAGTACATTATTGTAAAACGCATGCATGACACATGCATAAGTTTGAATGGTCAACCAAACGCAGCATTGCATGTCACAAAGCAGATCAGCCGCATTCAGTTGTGTAAGTTGCACACATGTATCTGTTAGGTGAAGAAAATATGGGGAGGTGGAAATAGGGGACAACTAGACTTTGGAAGAAATAGGTTATACAACAGGAGACTCCACTCTTATTCACGTGCACCTATACTTTTGGCAGCTGATGGAAAAGGAACAACCTTGTGATATTAACAATGTTCACACTGTTTTCATGACTATAAATGAATGAATGATGGATTAGGTTTATGCATCCAGGGGAAAAATGATGAGTTTTGTCTGTTTGTCGAACTCTATTGTGGAATGTGTTTATATTTGGCATCAAGTGTTCTGTCAGTAGGCTTATAGCAGGCAAGTTAGGGTTGGCTAAAAAGTTCTGAGGGCCATTGAATCAGTTCATACACATATCATTCTTCTCGTCTCTCTATCCCCTAAAGTTCTCTCTTGAGAAATTTCTTTCCAAACCTTCTCTCCTTAAAAGTCCTTTGTCTAGAAGCCCTCTTAAAGTTCTCTTTAGATGTTCTTTAAAATTCTCCCCCTTAAAGGAGCCTCTCCTTAAAAATTCTCCTAAAGTTCTTTCTAAAATTTCTCTAAAAGTTCCTTCTCATCCCACATGGCTTCCAGTTTTTGTATATCCACAGATAATTAGCAAGACTCTGACAATAGGGCAGATAAAATCTTGAGAGAAGCAGGACCCTCATGTCTCAGAGGGGAGACATGACTTGTAAGACATGACTTGAAAAGAAAGTGCTGTTAACTGATTAAAGGGGACTTCTCAGTGCTACATCAAAGGGAAAAACTAAGGCTGTGTAGTGTGAGATCCAGAGGCTACTGCTTCCAGCCTTGGTAGTAGGTCATTTTTACCACTGATGCTCCCTAAAAAAGAATTCCTTTTCTCCGTGGCCTTTTTAGGAATATAAAGCAGTCAGTGTAGTTTCTATATATCAAGATTATACAGCCAAATCCACAGCAACAGATACTCTGGAAGTCTGTCTTTTATTGCACGTTTTGCAAGGCAAGTTTTCTCCATTGGAAGTTAATTCTGCTGGGTTGGCACCTGGAATATTTATTGCTACTCCTGTACTGAGTGATAAAGACTCCTAGGAATTTGGGACTTCTACACAATAGATGCATTGAAGCAGAGTTATTTCTCCATTCTTAGTTATATTCCCTACAACACATAGCAGGTGATGTTCTAGGTATGAGAACACTTAATACATACATAAGCAAGCAGTCCCACTTAGATTTAAACTACTTTTCACTGTGCAGTTAGCTACTTTCTATCCTTCTCCCCACCAAAAACATTTCTGACTCCAGTCTATCCCTCCGGAGCTGTGAGTCTGAGGTTTTCCTGAGTCATCACTTTCATTTATTACAGTTGTGCCAGCGTGAGTCTGTAGCCAGCCAGGCTGAATATGACCCTGCTCATCGCAGAAATGGGAAGAAGCTAGAAGTCTCACACCATGGGGATTTCCTTTACGAAACAGTATGTGAGTAGACATCTCCTGACCACAGCTCATCCCTCCTGTTGATTATCTATCTGTGCTTCCTAAGATCCCGTGAACATGAGCCAGTGAGCGTCGATTGGACTGGTTTTTTGAGAAACCAGAGGTAAAGAAACCCGTGGTTATTCTGAATACTGGTAATCTACATGAAAAGCAAAAAGTCGAATTTCATTTTAGCTCTTGGTGGATAGAAATAGAACATGAATGTTGGTTTATTTCAAAGGGATGAGATTCCCATACATGTGAACAACAACAAAAAAGAGAACAGAAAAGGACATGTATCTGGTTTTTCCACTTCTAGAAGCATAGACATGTTCAATAACATTTTCAAAGATCGCAGTATGAACTAGTAATGTGAAGTGCACATCCAAAAGTTCAAAGTACTGACGTAAAACAGAGATACAACACAATGCCTCCATGAGTGATGGTGTGGTTATGGGCAATCTATTTCTTTGTGTGAATGGATTTGAGATATGCATTTTGAGACTTGTCCTTTAGCATATTTACCATGGCTAAAATTTAATATGAAGTAAGTTTTGCTAAGTCCTTGATTAGTAGTACATCAAATTTATTTCCCCCTCTCTAAACCCTATGAAGTTAGAACATTGCAAACCATGAAACAAAGCATGTAGAAGCAAAGAAATCAGAAAAAAAGTTTACATTTATGTTTGGAGGAACATTTCTATAATTTACCATCTACTTGGTGCTTTGTAGTCTGACTGTTTTTGGACCTCCAGCTCTTCAATAATGACACGGAGACTTCTTATTAAGTATGAAAGCTTGCCCTTAGCTTAGGCTTGTTCCCACCTAGATCTTAGAAGTTAAATCAACACATTTATATTCATCTATATTCTGCCAGGTGGCTCATTATCTCTCCTCCATACTGTTTATCTAACTTTCCAAATCTCAGATTTTCCCCTTGAGTTCATCTCTATCCCAGGAAGACGGGCCTATCCTCTCCTGCCTAGATAGTGACCCTTCAGCTCGTTATTAGACCAATCAGAGGGTGCCTTAGGCAGATGAGGTACAGAAGACACATCTTCACAGTGTACAAATAGTTTATTCCAAAGCAATGACTTTTATAGTTGTCACATGTAGGCAAAAGGCTGCAGTTTGCCATCGTTGAGATTAATAATGACAATAGCATGTTATTGGATGAGAACATGCATTTTCAGCTGTACCAGGGACTTTATGTATGCTGTTCCACTGGTCTTCACTGGCTTGTGATCTGATTACTGATAGCTTCACTACGTCACCAATAGGATTTTCATGGTGCTCAAAACAGACAGGTGAAATGAGATTCAAACTTCGGTCTGTCTGCATCCATTCCTCCTCTGGTTCTCACATTGTGAGGCTGGAGGGTGTTGTAAAGACTCGCTGTTAGCTTGCCATTTTCCTTCCCTCTCTTTCTTTCATTGAGTGATTTATTGTACCTTAAAAACTCAGAGGACCCCCTCGCCTGTTGTTGGAAGCAATCAGGTACGACAGTAAAACTATGTAGCCATCTTGCTAGGATCCGGCTTCTAGCTCAACTCTAGAGGGCCTGATGCACTATGACAGCTAAGAGGGGAATAAGGCTGCATGGGCATCCTGACAGCCACTGGTGGGGGTAGTTTAGAGTTGAGTAACAGCTGCCTGGGTGAGAAATAACTCCACAGCTGTCCCCAGATGCTACGCTGTGACCACATGTATGAAAAATGGAAACTGAGGTACTGCCCTGAAGTTGTCTTTATCAGGGTATAGAACCAAACTGAATGGCTTGAGGCAGGGGGTGGGGTTTGTCTTTATTCTCTGCCTTTCATGCACCTGAATTCTTCAAGGTTAAAAAGAAAAGGATAGTTTCCTGTATATTTCTCTTTTTTTTTCTAATTTAGAGGCCATCAGTCATCACCTCTCTTCCTCCACGGGAGAGCAGGAAAATTGCTTAGCCATAATTCACCTGTTACATGATAGCATAAGATGTGTATGTCCCCAAACATGTTCTTACCACATGATGCTGCTACCTAAAGACGCACAGGGAGATTCTCACTTGTCGAAGGAAGACTGTGAAGCCGTTGGCCCAGTGCACATGGACTACAGTTCAGTACCCACACATGCTCACTGCTGTTCTGTTTAAACTAGCCAGTGGAACCCATATAGATGGCCAGCTGAGGAACACTATTCCTTTCTCGTTAGTCCTGAGTGTCCGTATTTGTAATTTTATCTCCTCGTAGTAACATCTACACATTTCTAAAATTGACTTTTAAAGGCCTTCCTTATAGAAATGGCTCAGTGTTTCAACCATGAATTAGTTTTCCGGTAAATACTCATCAGATTTGCTTGACTTACTCTTCTTTTTTTGCTGTTGTCTCCTTGAAAGTCAAGCTAGCATTGATAGAATTTAATTTTGGGTCACTACGTCCTTTCCCAAGGACCATGAGATTTCAGACGACAACGTTTGAGGCCTTTATGAGAGTGAGCTTTAGGAACCATGATGTAATAGGTCTCCGTAAAGAAATTCTGGTAAAATCTGTCTTCCTATTTGACCATGTTAAAAAGAGCTCTGGTGTCTGTAGCACAGCATTCAGCTGGCTCTATTTCCCTAGAGGGAACAAGTGTGTCTCTTTAAACAAATAAAATTCCAACAATAAAGTAAAATGCAGGAATCTTATTAATTTCTGTTAAAATGTAAATTTTAGAGTTCTTGCTCCTGAAAGTAAATATGTATGTGTATTCATTTGCATGTAGGTCCTGTGTGAGCACCTGTAATTTGGGAGGCAGGTGAATGAGTCTTGAACAAAATGAGTCTTGAAAGCCTGTGGGCCCTGACGTAAGATGCTCTGTGGTGGACCATATAAAATAGTAATAAGCATTTAAATACTCACAATTTTAATTCCATTTGGATTGGAAGAATCATCTCTGAGTAATATATTTTATCTGTTATTTGTATCTATTGATGAGTTTCTTGGACACCATGATCTTCCCCAAAACAAACACATGAAGACACACACTGTAGAGTCACGTGGGTCAAATTATGTCACTTCTGATCCAAGAGGGAACCTGGTTTCCAGACGGTACTCCAGTTAGCAAGGCCCCCTCCCAGGCCCAGCCCATCCCTGTCCATTTGAATTCCCCTTTGGTTCTGCACTGCGCCCTTGGCTGATAAGAAGTCTTGACTTGGAGAAACCCATTGTCTGTGCTTTTATTAGCTGTGCTTCACTCTTTTGTATCCACTCAGTAAAAAACTATGACAAAATCTAATCAAAAGCGTATTAAAGGGAAATCATCTCCCTCTTTTCTATAAGATGTGAGACAATTGCTCCTCAGTTGTGCAGTGATCTATGGTATATCTAAGTGAGTGGGCACACTAGAAGGAAGATGTGTAAGGGTGATAAATATTCATGAGCATAGTTAACACTAAAACACTTCTTCTCCGCTGTGAACCCCACTTTTCCTATTTCCTCTTGCTACAGTGGGAGACATATTAAAATATTAATTTTCCGCTTTGCTGGAATGATTTCGGAGTCGAGCGCCATTAAGATTCCGAAAGTAAATATGAGAACTCGGGGATATTGCTCACTCTAATACTCCTTCTCGGTGCTTTTCGGAACTATTTACTTGCTTTTTTTTTTCTTTTTTTAAAAGGAGCCATCTCAAAGGTCTGATTGCTCTGTGAGATGCATACCTAAGCCAGAGTGAGTGTCATCATCCTGTGAAATAGTGTGCCCAGTTGGCAAGTTTGTACATCAAAGGCAATGTTCTGCAGGCAGGACAGTGCGTGGTGGGCAGGCCCCCTTCTACAGCCATAAAGAGAGTCTCTGCCAAGTTCAGTGCCTCCTTCTGGTAGAGGTATTAAGAGATGGAAACTGCCACGTGGGTCAGGGCTGTGCGAGGGAAGTGATTGCTCAGGGTTAGCGGGTGAGCAGCACGCAGCGACTATAGGGCTAATGGCTTTGAAGAGGTTTTGCCCTTGGTAGTGGTCAAACATGAGTTTACAGACTGTGAGTTTTCCAAGTGTGTGGAAGAGACCCACAGCAGGTCCTCCATTGTAATTTTTTTTCCTGGGCTTAATGGCTTCTTTTGAATTTAATTGTGCGCGGAGCCCACATTCGTAGAACAATAGGCCGCTGCATTTTTACCATTTTAATTTTGCACGCACACACACACACACACACACACACACACACACACACACACACGTTTTGTTCTCATTCTGCACCAACCCAATCTTTCCCTTGTCTCCCCCTTTGCTGGTCACTTGCTCCCTGCAATTTCCACCTTCTGGGGTCTTGATGCCTGTTTGATCCCACCAACTCTGCTTGTCTCTCCTCTGAGGCCCAACTCTTCCTTCCTTCTAATTTTCCCCTCTCTACTTTTCATGAGCATAGACGTGTGTACGAATGCAGTCTGCATTTTGTGTCACTATGAGACTTTAATGCACGTGTGAATTTCTTTGTCCTTGTATCTTCTACAAATGTGCTTCTTGTGCTTTTTCTACTCTTTTTTTGTTTGTTTGTTCCTTTGTTCTCCTTTTAGATATCTGTTTTCCAGTGAGACAGAGCAAGAAAGAGTATGGATTTGGGTGGGTAGGGAAGTGGAGAGGATCTGGGAGTAGTTGAGGAAAGGGAAACTATAATCTGAATATATTGTACTAGAAAAATGTATTTTAAATAAAAATGTAAAATAACTGGCGTTAAAATCTCCTGCTTTGGAGGCAACCTTTGAGACCTGAGTCGACAAAGAGTATTAATCCACCACAGAATGTTGAAGTGACTTCTGCTCAGGGGAAAAACTACCCAGTTCTGAACATGGCCTGGCTGAGCCAAGTCTCCACAGGGAAGGACAGGGCAGCACCCTATGGGGAGGGTGCCATTTCCTTGGTTTTCCTCTGCATGTGCCAACTGAACATGGGTCCCACTGAAAACGAGCAACAAAGACTTGCACATGGTCATTCTAAAATAGGTTCAGAGATTATGCTCTACCATTTAACCCAATTCTCACATCTA